GCCGTCCGAGTCGTACTGACAGTTTCAGACCTTCAGATTTTAGGGACAGAAGAGGCCACCTCATCGGGAGGTGACACCTTTAGGCTGGATTTATAGAGGAACTGCGTGGTGTTCAAGGAGCTCTGGTGTTGCAACGGTTAAAGCATTCGGCTGCTAACCAAAAGGTGGGAGGTTCCAACCCACCAGCTGCTCTAAAGAGAAAGATGAAGCAGTCCACTTCTGCGAAGACTGACAGCCTTGGAGACCCTGTGGCCAGTTCCACTCTGTCCTCTGGGGCGCTGTGGGTCAGAATGGACTCCACGGCAGGGGGTGTGGTTTGGGCTTTGCTTCTGTGAAGATTGACAGCCTTGGAGCCCCTGTGGGGCAGTTCTACTCTGTCCTCTAGGGGCGCTGTGGGTCGGAATCCACTCCAGGCAGTGGGTGTGGTTTGGGCTTTGCTTTTGTTTAGATTGACAGCCTTGGAGACCCTGTGGGGCAGTTCTACTCTGTCCTCTAGGGGCGCTGTGGGTCGGAATCTACTCCAGGCAGTGGGTGTGGTTTGGGCTTTGCTTCTGTTTAGATTGACAACCTTGGAGACCCTGTGGGGCAGTTCTACTCTGTCCTCTAGGGACGCTGTTGAGTCGGAATTGACTCCAGGCAGTGGGTGTGGTTTGGGTTTTGCTTCTGTGAAGATTGACAGCCTGGGAGACCCTGTGGGCAGTTCCACTCTGTCCTCTAGGGGCACTGTGGGTCGGAATTACTCCACGGCAGCAGTTTTTGCGGTGTTCAGGAAAGGACCTTGTTTGTCTTTCTGCTGCTTTCTGGAGCCCGGGCAGCAGCTCTGATGACAGCTGCAGGCTGTTTCCACAGTCCGCGTCCCCGCCCTTGTGTACATAGTCCTTTCCTCTCTGTCTGCACTGGGGGGGCGGGGGGAGAACTGGGTATCAAAGAACATCTTGGCCCAGAGGTGTCGTCCCCTCCCACCTCCCTCTGCCGATGGCGGCTCCGTCCAGAGTGTTCCCTGACCCAGAGAGAAAGGGTCATGAATCCCCCCCACCGGGCAGCAGACTTGGGGTTTGTGTTCTAGGCCCGGGAACAGCTAGACGCAGCTTCTCAGGGCTGTGAGAACTGGAGTCCCTCTCTTTAAATGCACCCCTGGAATGGTCACATCTACACTCTGTGAGTCTGGGGCTCCCTTTCCCAGTTCCTGGGTTGGGCAGGTGGAACCGGCCCGTTGCCCGTTGGGCCTCCTTCACCCCATGTCGCTTCTGTAAGAGGCCAGCCATTGGTGGTGCAGGTCCTCTCCAGTTGTCTTGTTCTCTGAAAACGTGTTCGTCCCTAGGATGGCTTCACTGCGAGACAGCAGATGCCCAGCGGCCTTTTTCATTAGGGATTTTCACCTGGTGGATGAACGTCCCAGGTTGCCCGTGAGGCCCCTGCAGTCACTCTGTCCCGGCCAAGAGTGCCCCCCGGCAGTGAGCCCTAGTGGCACACGGCCTAGGGCCTTGGAGACCCCACGGCCCTTGCAGGGTTTCTGGGGTCAATTGCGGGGGCAACTCTTCCCCCGCTTGTCCCACCCGCACCCTCCCTGACCCAATAGCTAAGCGGGAAAGTCTCTGTCCACAGTGAAGCCAGCCCTGCCCGGTCTAGCACAGCCCCCCGCGTGGATGAGGAGGAAGCTGGGCGAAAACAGGCAGCACAGGACGACGGCAGCCGCCTCTCCAAGGACGCTAGGCCCAGGTCTCCAGAGTGTGCCGCCCGCAGGCAGCCCCACTGACCCACCTGGCCCAGGTGCCAGGGCAGGGCCATCACTAGACCCCCAGTCAGGACCTGCCCACACTCCCCCCACCCACTGGGGTTCCAGGGAAGCCACTGCCCTCCTGCAACCACCTCCCAGCCCTTCCCTCGGCCCCCAGAGTCGTGGGCAAAGGAGAGGCCATTGGAAATGTTCAGGTTTCTACTTTAGGAAAAAAATTCAAAAACAGAGGAAAGTATAAAGATGATTATACCTGACACCTGCGTGCCTACCTCCCAGAGTCAGCAGGTGAAAGCATTTTCTCACGTCTGCTTCTTGTTGTTATGTGCAGTCGAGTCGGATCCGACTCATAGTGACCCCTCCTTGGGTTTCTGAGGCAGTTATCACTATGGAAGTAGATTGCCCAACCTTCCTTCTGAGGAGTGGCTGGTGTGTTTGAACCGCCAGCCTTCTGGTTAGCAGTCAAGTGCCTTAGGCACTGCACCACCAGAGCTCCTCATGTCTGCTTAGAGCTTTCTCAATAAAAGAAACAAAACATCACAGAACGTTGAAGTCTGCTGCCTCTATGATCCTGCGCTATCCCCCTGCACCCCACAGGGGGCAAAATCCAAAAAATCTGTTGCCATCGATTCGATTCCGACTCATAGCAACCCTGTAAGACAGAGTCAACTGCCCCATCGGGTTTCCAAGGCTGTAAATCTTTACGGAGGCAGCCTGCCTGACCTTTCTCCTGCAGAGCAGTGCTGGGTCAAACCTTCAACCTTGTGCTTAGCAGCAGATCGCTTAACCAGGGTGCCGCCAGGGCTCCCTCTCCTCAAGGAACAGCGTTTTAACAAAAACTTTTGCTATTTGATGTTTTGTGACAACTCATGGTGACCCTGTGTGACAAAGTAAAACTGCCCCCTAGGGTCTCCAAGGCTGTCAATCTTCACAGAAGGAAAGCCCAAACCACACCCACTGCCGTGGAGTCCATTCTGACCCACAGCGCCCCTAGAGGACAGAGTGGAACTGCCCCATAGGGTTTTCAAGGCTGTCAGTCTTCATGGAAGCAGACTGCCAGGTCTTTGTCCCCAGGAAGGGCCCCTGGGTTGTAACCCCTGACCTTTAGCTTAACCACTGCGCCACCAGGACCCCTTAAAAAGAGCTTTGTGTGCACGTGGGTCTACAAGCCAGGAGCAGTCCCTAAGAGCGCTTTGCGCGTTTTCTATGGTCATGGCCGGAGTCAACCGTGGACATCGCTCCTCGTTTCTCATGTCACCGTCATGTGCACACGCGCAGCGCCCGGTTCTCCCTCGCTGTCGTCATCCTGTGTGGGAAGCTGCTTGCTCTGGTCCCGGGGCCAGGCCGGTGGGGTGGTGTTTTGTTGTTCGCTCGTGCTAGCGGCAGTACGGTGGCTGCCCTGTGTCGCGCGCAAGGGTCCTGCTGGCGAGCGCATGTGCTTGGGCATGGATGGATGGCGCAGGCAGTCCCAGCAGTGGCGGTGGGGGCGGCGGCCGGTCCCTTTCTGCCTGCCTGCGCTCGGATGATCCGCCAGCCCTCTGGGCCCCACTGTACCCTAGAACCGACCCAGATGGTCTCTGGGCGGCCAGCGGGCCCAAGTGGGCCGGGCACCCCGGCCTCAGGAAGCAACTGGTGGGGCTGTTGGAAAAGGGGGAGCTGCAGCCCGGGGGAGCACGCCCAGGCTTCGTCGGGACGCCTGGGAGCTCGGGGTCCTCAGGGGAAGCCGACTTGCGCACGGCTTCGGGCCCCGCGTTCGCAGGTGACGCTGCGGCGCGGGCTCGGCGCCCCTATCCCGGCTTACAGCACGCCTGGACTGGATTTGGCGTTTTGGCGTTTTGCCTCCAAGTGCAGCCCGGCCCAGTGAGTGGTAGCGAAACGTGAGTGGGATCGCGCCGATTTCGCCGCGGGGCT